TTGAAACGTTCCGTGAGGCCATTCGTCTGCGGGTGGTAAGCAGCAGTTTTGCGGTGAACAACGTTGCACTCTTTGAGAATAGCTTCGACGACTTCAGACAGGAAGACGCGGCCTCGATCACTGAGCAGTTCCTGAGGTGGACCGTGTCGCAGCATGAATCGTTGGAGCAGGAAGGAGGCCACATCGCTCGCTGTAGCCGCGGGGAGAGCGGCAGTTTCGGCGTATCGCGTGAGGTGGTCCACAGCAACAATGGCCCAGCGGTTACCAGCTGACGTTAGTGGAAGTGGCCCATACAAATCGATGCCAACGCGCCCAAACGGCCTGGCAGGGCAAAGTAGAGGTTGCAGACCTACCGGCGACAGTTGCGTTGAAGTTTTGCGGCGCTGACATTCTATGCAGGAGCGAACGAATTTCTGCACGTAGCGGTACATGCCGCGCCAAAAGTACCGTTGGCGAATGCGGGGGTAAGTCTTCGATACCCCGGAGTGCGCACATTGCGGATCAGAATGAAAGAATTCGCATATGTCAGAGCGCAGACTGCGAGGTATGACTAGTAGCCACTGGTGGCCGTCACCGTTGTAATTGCGTCGGTGGAGGAGGTCGTCGCGAACGGCGAAATGGTGGGCTTGACGACGCAACGCGCGAGTGGATGGAGTGAATGGATCAGTCAGCAAGTCTATCAGTGAGGCAATCCATTGATCCTTGCGCTGTTCAGTAGCAATGATATGAATGCTAATCAAAGAAATAGCAAGGTGAGACACTGAGTTGTTGGCATTGTCGTCAGGCAAGGGAGAGCGCGACAGGGCGTCGGCGTCAGCATGTTGCCTTCCATTGCGGTACAGCACGCGGATGTCATAGTCTTGCAGGCGAAGTGCCCACCGGGCGAGACGGCCTGAGGGATCTTTCAATGACGACAACCAGCATAGTGCGTGGTGGTCGGTGACGACATCAAATGGGCGACCATACAAATAAGGTCGGAACTTTGCAAGGGCCCAGACGATTGCCAAACATTCTTTCTCGGTGACTGTGTAATTAGTCTCGGCTTTCGTAAGCGTACGGCTCGCGTACGCCACGACATATTCCGGGAACCCTGGTTTGCGCTGCGCAAGGACAGCGCCGAGGCCGACACCACTGGCATCCGTGTGTACCTCTGTAGGGGCCGTAGGGTCGTAGTGGCGGAGTATGGGAGGCGACGTCAACAAACGACGAAGTGTTCTGAAAGCGTCGTCGCACTGTGATGACCACGAATGGAGAGGCCCGTTACTTCCGAGAAGCTTCGTCAGCGGCGATATGATAGTCGCAAAGTTTCGAATGAAGCGCCGAAAGTAGGAACACAATCCTACGAGACTGTGCAGTTCCTTGACGGATGTCGGCTTGGGGAACTCGGTCACGGCTCGAAGCTTGGCTGGATCAGGGAGAATTCCGTCCTTGGACACGACGTAGCCGAGTATTGTCAGCTGCCGAGCTGCAAATTGGCACTTCTTTAAGTTCAGTTGCAGACTGGCGTTGCTCAGACGCGTTAAAACATGCCGAAGGCGTTGAAGATGCGTCGAGAAGTCAGGAGCGAAAACAACGACGTCATCGAGGTAGCACAGGCACGTGTGCCATTTCAGGTCACGCAGAACTGTATCCATCATGCGCTCAAAGGTGGCGGGCGCATTGCACAGCCCAAACGGCATAACGTTGAACTCGTACAAGCCGTCGGGGGTGACAAAAGCGGTCTTCGGTCGAGCGTCCTAAGCCATAGGTACTTGCCAGTACCCTGAGCGCAAATCGAGGGATGAAAAGAATTCTGCTCCTTGCAGGCTGTCAATCGCGTCATCTACCCGCGGTAGTGGATACACGTCCTTACGAGTGATCTTGTTGAGGCGTCGGTAGTCCACACAGAACCGCACAGAACCGTCCTTCTTCGTGACGAGAACGACAGGAGACGCCCAGGGGCTGCTAGAGGGGCGAATAACATCGCGGCGAAGCATGTCGTCGACTTTCTCATTGATTACACGGCGTTCTGTGGGAGATACGCGATATGGACGTTGCCGCAGCGGTGGCTGTGCGCCTGTGTCGATGCGATGCGTAACGGTGGATGTGCGGCCGAGAGAAGGTTGAGCGACATCGAAAGAAGAGCGGAATTCTTCCAACAGGCTCAAAAGCTGGGAACGCTGGCCCTGCGTACGGTCGTCGGGTAAGCAGGGACCGAATATATCATCGGATGATGAAGCAGATGTGGAAACAGCACCAAGCGTACAGGAACTTGAGCAGTGCATGTCATCGGGTTGATCCATAACTTGCGCGTCTTCGATGGGTTCCACGCTGCCGAGACATTCCCCTCGCACCAATGTAACGCTGTACGGAGATGAGTTCACGACGAAAATAGTGGTGCTGCCGTGAGTGAGTTGCACGGTCGCGAAAGGAACCAGCAAGCTTTTCTTATGAAAACACGATGAGATGGCGAGAGGAGTGCAGCGGCGTCAGAAAGGCTTGCGCAGATGAGCGACACCGCAACGGACGAGTTTGCAGGCACTTGAGTGTCGTCTCTGACGAGTACCTTGCTTGCAGCGGATGGACTGTCGGCCGGCGTCAAAGAAGAGAGTGGCGTGAGTTCTATTTCTGCTGGTGCGCAATGAATGACGGCGTCGTGGCGGGAGAGAAAATCCCATCCTAGGATGACGTCGTGAGAGCATGAAGAAATTATTATGAATTCGACCGCATACATCACGTCCTGAATCATAAGGCGGGCTGTGCACATCTCCGTAGGGTGAATACTTTGGGCGCTGGCTGTACGGAGGGAGAGCCCACAAAGTGGCGTGGTCACTTTGCGCAGTAATCGGCTAAGTTTTTCGTCCATCACGGATACGGCGGCCCCAGTATCTACAAGGGCAGATGCACGAACGCCATCCACAAGCACGTCTATAACGTTCGACGGGCTTTCCTGAGGGCTTCCGCAGTTCGACAGCGTCGCAGCCCTTGCCTCGTGGACTGCGACGACTAGTTTTCCTGGTCGCCCTCGAGTGGACGTGGCCGCATTGGCGACAGTGAGCGACGTCGTGGAGATGGTGAACGGTGGGTAGACGGAACGGGGCGGGACGACGGTGACATAGGCGGCGGTTGGTCATAAGAGCGGCTTGACTGGCTGGGAAAGTTGGAGGCGACCTGCGGTTGCTGCACACGATTGCAATAGCGTGCTACATGACCGACGCAACCACAAGCAAAGCAGATGGGGCGATTGTCAGCAGTGCGCCATTGGTTTGCGGGTCGCATCCATGTCGCAGAACGCGACTGACGAGCCGGCTGCTGATATGAGTGCATGGTAGGCGGTACTCGGGGCACGTGGGTGACGCCGGCGTATGTAGGCGAGACAGTTTCTCCAAAGGCCTGGGGCCTCGCGACGGGTTCGGTGTAATTTAGGGGAACAGTCGCAGAAATCGGTGGGGGCGGCCTGGCAACAACTTGGGCGTAGCTGAGTGGCACAGATGCAGGAGGCGGCTGGTGGTATTCAGGGACGACCTCCGCGATTTCCTGCTGAATGGCTCGGCGGAGCGGAGGTAGAAGTGTACTTGATGGCTGTTGAGCATGTTGTGGGGAAGCAAAAGCCAGTAGAGAGACCTGGCGGGCAACTTCCTCACGCACGAACGACTTGATTTCGGCGAGCAAGGTTGCGTGGTCAGGAACTGCTGACAAGGCCGAGAGATCAGCATCACGTGGTGGCGGTCGACGGGTCATCAAGCGCTGCCGCCGCAGCTCGTCGTAACTTTGGCATAACATGATGACTTCTGCCACAGTGCGGGGGTTCTTTGCCAGGAGCATGGTGAAGGCATCGTCGGCGATGCCTTTTAGAACATGCGTGATTTTGTCAGCCTCTGACATGTTCAGGTCGACTTTCTTGCACAAGTCAAGGATGTCCTCGATATAACTAGTGAAGGACTCTCCGGTCTGCTGGGCTCGTTCACGTAAACGCTGTTCAGCTTGCAGCTTACGAACGGCCGGGCGGCCGAACACGTCGACGACAGCGGTTTTAAAAGCGGACCATGTCGGGAAATCAGATGCGTGGTTGTTGTACCACATGCCGGCCACACCCGCGAGATAGAAAAACAGGTTGCCCAGTTTACCTGCTTCGTCCCAATGGTTGGGGACGCTCACGCGTTCGTACATGGCCAGCCAGTCCTCGACGTCGGTGCCATCCGCTCCGGTGAAGACAGGAGGGTCGCGGATGCGGGGGACACCGGGACATGGCGTCGGCGTAGGAGGAAGCGTTTGCTGGGCGGCGTCTTGGTGCATGGTTGGAGGCACGGTACGGGATCGAAGCTCCAAGGGCATCGAATGCGGACCGAAGGTCTTTGAAGGGCACAGCACTCTCAGCACTCTCCACCAAATTGTTAAGTGGTTTATTGGCCGACACTCAGCGATGATTCACGACAGCGACGGTCAAAGCGGGGATCGACTCTCTGCGCGAGCTTCTCTTCTTCTTATGGAAAGGGCGACCAACTAGAAGGCGCTGCAGAGGACGACCCACTGTTCAAAGGCTTTACCACTATATATATATATATATATATATATATATATATATATATATATATATATATATATATATATATATATATATATATATATATATATATATATCAGGTCGCGGGATCAAATCCCGGCTGCGGCGGCTGCGTTTCCGATGGAGGCGGAAACGTTGTAGGCCCGTGTGCTCAGATTTGGGCGCACGTTAAAGAACCCCAGGTGATCAAAATTCCCGGAGCCCTCCACTTCGGCGTCTCTCATAATCATATGGTGGTTTTGGGACGTTAAACCCCACATATCTATCAATCATATATATATATATATATATATATATATATATATATATATATATATATATATATATATATATATATGAAACTCTTTTCTACACTGTACATCACCTATATATATACTTTCACTGGCGCGATTGTTTGTTCTCGCTAAGGTCGTGTCAAAAAAAAAACAACAAACGAGCTACTGAATTTCTCTTTTTTCGTTCAGGAATATATTTATATGCTTTGGTCTTTGTACATGTCCCATGAGTGAACGACTTTTGCAGTATGCGAATGTTTCCGCAGCACGCGCGTGTGTGGCTCGATTCGTAAAGCAATGCCCTTCACGAGTCCGGGTAGAAGTGGTTGACCAAGGCCCGCACGCTGGCCATGGCCTTCATGAGTGGTTCGTACACGAGGTGGCGTGCCCCGACGCCCACGCTGAAGTCCAGGTGCGTGAAGGAGCGGTCTCGCACGCGGAAGTCGAGCACGAGTCGGGGCAACTTGTCGCGCAGCTGCGACACGTCCTTTGGGTCGGCCAGCCAGTCGCCGACGCTCCAGTAGAGCGCCACGGGCGCCGTCACCCGCGTCAGGTTGTACTCGGGAGGCTCGGCCTGCGGCGAAAAATGAGCGTTGGAGAGTGTGACTTAGAAGTGTGGCAGGTTGGGCTAGTTGGTATGGCATGACGACAGTTATAGCGCGAGAACAGAACGACGCCAAAGAGACAAGAAGGGCAGTGCTCGTGTCCTTCTTGTCCTTCTTGTCTCTGTGTCGTCCTTCTGTTCTCGCGCTATAACTATCGTCTTGGAGAATGTAACAACAACAACAACAACAAAAAAAAAACAAAAAAACAACGAAAACAACAACAACAACAACAACAACAAATGTTAAGTGGACGTTTCAACGCGTTTTAAACATTGCCAGAAAATGTTGTCGATCGGTAGTCGAAGCTCCTGGGAACATGTGAGCCAAACATTACAGAGCACGCACCATGAAAATAACAAGAATAATGTCACAGCCAGCTAAAATATCCCGCTCTTTCGCTCTACAAATGACGTCATAAGCGCTATTCGGCTTCGACATCAACGTGGCTCGCGGCCATTGGCTAATTTGAGCATCTCACGATGCTCATATCGTATTCGTTATCTTGCTGTAACGAATGTCAAATAAACTTATTGATTGATTGAATGATTAATTGATTGATTGATTGATTGATTGATTGGTTGGTTGATTGATTGCATAGCTACCGTGGCCGCCGTGGTGTGTCCAAGCTGCGTGACAATCATCTATTTCAGTTATCGCGCCGAAAATGAACCGGGCCTTGAACAAAAAAGAAAGAAAGAAGAACAATCCCGTCTTTGGCGCTGTTTGTTCTGTCTTAAAGGAAAAGGAAGTAATCGAGGTGCGTTGCCGTATACAACCGCACGTTCTTGCCTTCTCGTCCTGCCCCCCTCCCCGCCTTCCGACCTCTCGTGAGTAGATTTCGCGCGCTGACTGGGACGAAAGTAAAAAAAAAAAGTGCCCGAAGTGTGTGACTAATCCCCGTATCTACCTAGGCTCTTAAACTCTAATAGGTAGATTATTAAAATATTACTTTCAAAACTGCGGTAGGGCCTCAATAATATAAGAAACGATAGAAGACAGCTGTTTTCCTTTTCCGACTTCGGAATGCGAAGCGAGAAGAGGCTTTCAAAGTTCGTAACAAAATCCGTTCGCAAAAACATTTAAAGTGGCCAAGTCGTTGGTTTTAATTTGCTCTACCATAGAGTGTAAAAACAATTGTGCGTTGCCGTGCAAAAAAGCTGATAACTGTTCAACAGCTCAAGAATTAAATATTCGTAAGCAACACCGCAACTTGCACGCAAAGAAACACGACAGCGTCTTACCTGTCCATACAGGGCTCGATTCCTTGTCCTGCCGAAGTCGAATTTCTGGAACTTTTCACTCAACACTAACTGAAACACAAGACGTGAAACAAAAGATGTTACGAGTTAGCGGAGGCATTGAAAGTGATTACGAATCAGCTCGACAAAGTTGGCAGACGTCTTAAATCTCTCCTGTTATTGTGTTATTGTCGGAACCGAAGAAATTGCGGAGACTCCTTAGGATATGAGAAATACGATCTGACATTACTGATCTAAAAATACCAGCCAGCTGATACCTCGACCGGACGACGAGAAACGAATAGAATTCGTTTCATCTTCTTAGCATTTTTAACACAAATGCACGCACGTACATACATAAAGTATAGTTGCACTTCCCCTTTACCCACCCAAATATATATATATATATATATATATATATATATATATATATATATATATATATATATATATATATATATATATATATATATATATATATATTCGCGCCGCCGCACTGCTGTGCGGCTGCGCGAAACCGACCCAGCGGTCCTTTCGAAATGTGTTATTACAGGAGGATCAAGACAAACCATTCTTTCGGAAACGATTGCTTTAGTGGAACGAAGATTTGTTTACACGCTAGAGATTACTTCTGTGGGATAAAAGTTGTTTGTTTACGTGAGCAGCCGAAAGCAGCTGAAAGCAAACGAGCGCAGTCGGATGTATTTCCGCGTTTACTTATTTATACTGTACACGCCACCATCCTGTTGTGAAAATGGCAGGGCAGGGAAATAAAACGAGCTTTAAGAAAATTGCTCGGGCGCATCTCTGTAACGTTCGATTTTAATCATAGTCGCATGCTTAGCGTTCGTCCTGTTTCATTGCGTTCTTGTGTCCTTGTTCCCCGCACTGTTTCATTCATTTCAATCGCGTATAGGGCTTACCCTCAAGGATGTCCTCTGTACTGCACGATTTATGTGATTATTCTCAGCCAATTGTGGCTTCCTCACCTGAGCATAGTGTGCCATATCGTCACCTGAACGTAGTGTGCCATATTCCTCATCTGAGTATAGTGTGCCATATCGTCACCTGAACATAGTCTGCCATATTCCTCACCTGAGAATAGTGTGCCATATTCCTCACCTGAGCATAGTGTGCCATACCGTCACCTGAACATAGTCTGCCATATTTCTCACCTGAGCATAGTGTGCCATATCGTCACTTGAGTGTAGTGTGTCATATTTCTCACCGGAGCATAGTGTGCCATATCGTCACTTGAGTGTAGTGTGCCATATTCCTCACCTGAGCATAGTGTGCCATATCGTCACTTGAGTGTAGTGTGCCGTATTCCTCACCTGAGCATAGTGTTCCATATCGTCACTTCAGTGTAGTCTGCCATATTCCTCACCTGAGCATAGTGTGCCATATCGTCCCCTGAGCGTAGTGTGCCATAATCCTCACCTGAGCATAGTGTGCCATATCGTCCCCTGAGCGTAGTGTGCCATATTCCTCACCTGAGCATAGTGTGCCATATCGTCCCCTGAGCGTAGTGTGCCATATTCCTCACCTGAGCATAGTGTGCCATATCGTCCCCTGAGCGTAGTGTGCCATATTCCCCACCTGAGCATAGTGTGCCATATTCCTCACCTGAGCATAGTGTGCCATATCGTCACTTGAGTGTAGTGTGCCATATTCCTCACCTGAGCATAGTGTGCCATATCGTCACTTGAGTGTAGTGTGCCATATCGTCACTTGAGTGTAGTGTGCTATATTCCCCACCTCAGCATAGTGTGCCATATCGTCCCCTGAGTGTAGTGTGCCATATTCCTCACCTGAGCATAGTGTGCCATATCGTCACTCGAGTGTAGTGTGCCATGTTCCTCACCTGAGCATAGTGTGCCATATCGTCACTTGAGTGTAGTGTGCCATATTTCTCACCTGAGCATAGTGTGCCATATCGTCACTTGAGTGTAGTGTGCCATATTTCTCACCTGAGCATAGTGTGCCATATCGTCACTTGAGTGTATGTGACATATTCCTCACCTGAGCATAGTGTGCCATATTGTCACCTGAGCGTAGTGTGCCATATTCCTCACCTGAGCATAGTGTGTCATATTATCACCTGAGCGTATCATATTCCTACCCTGAGCGTAGTGTGCCATATTCTTCACTTGAGCGTAGTTTGCCATTTTCCTCACCTGAGCGTAGTGTGCCATATTTCTCACCGATGTTCCAGCCGGAGTGTGGCTCACGAGAACGGGAAGTCGAGTCTGCGAGGATGTAACACACAATATTGTATGTGGTATTTCCACTGCCATGCGGTGCATTCACTAAATAATGTGACGCTCTCGGCACAGGTGGCAAGCTGACTGGGTTGACTCAGTCATACTCAGATCAAGCCGTCAATCTGAGTGAGTCCGGGTGAGTAATACTTTTGTGCTTCTGAGCCCGAATGAGTCTGGTTGAGGAAAATTCTATTGAGTGAGTCCAGTTGAAGAACAGTTTTGGTGAGTTTGAGTGAGCTCCTTCTTTTTTATCAGTCTATGCCTCTGAGATCTTTGAGAGCAACAACTGCACGACGTTTCTAATACCAACGCACTTGATTACGATGTGATCTTTCGTTTAAAAACTTCGTAAACCCTTCTCTTCTGTCTATTTTCATTCTGCTTTCAGTAGAACCACTCGCACAGTATAGTGTTAATATAGGGACTAAATTAAATACATAATGAAAAATTATGTCAAGGTTCCATTGAAAATTTGTTTTGGCACGCCGGCCCATATCAGTAAAAGAAAAAAGCTTTCAGGAGGCATGCCGAGAGAGTTAAATGATATGGCGATACTTCCCTAAACACGGCGCGACTTCGTATGAAAGTTTATGTACATCTTCGCATAAAATTTTCTTCGGAGAAAATATAGCTCACTTCAATACCGAACACGGCTGCATCATCTTTCAAGTGCCCTTTTCCAGGTGTCATGAACAAGTCTTTTTTAAGAATTGTAATAGTTCTTTTGATTTAGCACTAATACCATATATGTACCCTAACATGTAGATGAATTCAACTAAAGTTATGCCAAGGAAAGTTTAGGGGACATAAATTGTTACTTTCGACTGTAGAGTATTGTGACGAAAATTGAAATGTATTAACGTGGACGAAAATTGCCCTGTCCATCGGTGGGATTTGAACCCATGACACTCGAATGACACAACCTGCCGGTTAATCTACGACAGACGGCACTTCGTCATGCAGTTTGCTGCGGCACGTGTGATTTATAGGAGTGTTAGTCAGCGCACAAGGGTAGTCCCCTATCGCATGACTGATTTGGTTGTGCGTAACAGAGAAACGAGTACATCGAAAGAAGCTCCCCCTTCTCTCGTTCATGTACGTACCGTAGTCACCCAATACTTGAAATAGCAAGCTAGGCAGTAGATCAGGCTAGCATCTTCGAGGTTATCCTTGGATATTGCAATCTATCTTGCAATGAATGCTCAAGAGAGAGAAGGGGTAGAGGAAAGGTAAGGACGTTAACTAGTCTACGTACAGTTTGCTACCTTGCACATGGGGAAGGGAATAAGGCAGCTTAATTGGCATCTCGGTTATGCACTTCCACTCAGTAACAAAAATCGGTCACGAAGGCTAGTCTGCGCTCGTCGGAAGTAGCAGCCGGAAATGCGTCGTGAGCGCCGCCTGTTGGATACCGCATGAGGCGCATACTAGCGGGAAAAACAAAAGGGTGTTTCCTTTTCGTTACACCGCAGCCTCCCATCGGCTCACAAGTTTCCGCACAGCTCGTTAGGACCATCAATCATCTTGATACAACGCGTACCTTGTTGAGTTGTGGGCCCTCTGGTCCGCAAATAAAGAAGATGGCGTTCTCGCACAGACTGCGCGACTCCTCGAACTGGCACAGAGTTCCGGCAACGAGCCTCATCAGCGGACTGCTGGGCAGGAAGTCGTACTCGACGAACAGGGCAAACAGGGCCTGCGGGAAGCACAGGTAGAAAAAAAAATGAGCGACAAAAGGAATACCGCAAGCAATGTCAGTATGGACGTGTCGGTGCCTGAAAGGAATTACCAACGATTCTGTGAGTCTGGTAGAGAGGCGTGAAACACGCCAGTCGCCATTCAAAATTATACCGAGACATGTAACGTTAACTTGAGATATAACAGCGCAACAATAAAGGCACGCATGAAAGTGAAGACACAACCAGCACAGTCTTTTAAGTAAAGATTGCTCAGAATAAACGTGCTCTTCACCACATGTCATCCTTTATGTTTCGCAAATGGTGGGAGTGGGGGGGGGTGGAGGTTGCCTTACCATCGGTGTTGACTACCTTCTAATCACGGAAACATTGTTTTTTAGGGGCGAAGCTCCTTAAGACCTCACGATGTCCGCCGTCTCCCATCTGTCCGTAACACGTCTTCATCTGTTTGACATTTCTGAACCATTTTTCATGTAACCTTCAACTTATAAGCAACAGAGGGCGCCGTGGTTAATTGTAGATGTGATGGCGCTGCTGTTAACGCTATATATATATATATATATATATATATATATATATATATATATATATATATATATATATATATATATATATATATATATATATATATATATATATATATATATAACCGCGTTCAATACTACACATTCTCTTTTCTCATATGGACGAAGACGAACGCAGCAAAGCGCGACGTGCTGAGTATCAGCGTCGCCGTCGACGGGAAACTACCGCGGAGACAAAAGAGAAGATAGCGGATGCAAAGCGGCGACGGCGACAACAAAGTTCTACAGACTAGGGCTAAGGAAGCAAAGGCTAAGCGGGAAAAACGCCAAGCTGACGCGCAGTTGAGACAACTTGAAGCGGGTGCAAGGTGGCAATACCGACAAGAAAATTCTACACCAGAGACGATAGCTAATGAAGCTGTGATTATTAAGTCAAAACGTAACCCGGAACTTGGAACCTCATATCAGCTGTAAAGAAGAATCACCGCTATACCACAATCGGTCTCAGCACTATCTCTTCGAGTAAAAATATATATAAGTATCACAACCACAATCAGTTTCAGTACTATCTCAACATTAATCACAATAATCACCTCCGAAAGTTTCGCCCCATAATTATCTTCAAGAAGCTTGAAATGCAGTGATTTTTTTTTTCATATTCGGTAGCTTATGCGTGGTTCATTCCTTTGTCGTCTGCTTGGCGATGCCTGGTCATATTATTGACAGACGCATAGTGAAGCAGCATACATGTTCAAGTCGTAATGCTAAACGTCTATAATTAGAGCTGCCTGATTTATACAGCGCATAGTGACTTTGCCCCCATTGCTTAACTTTACATGGATTATCGGCAGCGATTCCAATAATATGTACCAATATGCCGTATCATTCCCACATAAATGCGTTATTACTCTCAAGTGGTTTAACTTACTACCATTCTGTAGTTAGATGTCTTTTTTTTCTCAATACAGGCCCAGCAGCACCGGTCACATATTTTCCACATTGCCTGCTGCAGTTCTTTGTCTCGCGTACTTTTCACTCGGAGAAAAACCTGCGCAGGAAAATGAGCGAGACAAAGCGCCCGTCTAGGCGTGCATGCCACCCACCCCTGCACTCTCCACAAATGGCGCCAGGTGCCGTATGGGGGACCTCATGTACGTCACCGTGGTCACCGGCGCCATGGCAGCGAACAGTTCAATCTGCGATAGAAAGAGGAGTCGTGTTACTTCACAGGCAAGTTCTCAGACTTTTTCCCCAATGCCTTGAAGACATTTCAACCAGAACAATAAGAATGCGGTGAAGCGCTTTCGTAAGCCTTTCTCAGATCATGAATCAACCGGCGCAGTAACTGCAATGTTGCCTCCGAGCACAGCACGTCGAGGAGCCTCCCACGTCAACGTCGCTTCAAGCGCCTCAGTATGGCGGTGGCGCTTACCGCTGTTTATAAACATGGAAGAGGTATATATGACACCTGCATCATGCCGGTACTTACCAACAAAGCATAAACCTGGAGGTTTTCATTTGATCGTAAGTTGAGGACGACCCACAAAGCGATGGAAAGAAAAGTGATGGTTGCAACGTTTAAAGGTCAAGAAGAGAGGGCAGTGGGTCAGGCAATAAGCGGGAGTAAAATATATCTTAGTCAAAATCAAGAAAAAAATGGTATGGACGGGGCACGCAGCGCAAAGGTAAGATAACTGTTGGCCATTAACACAATTGAATGTAATGCACGAAAATCGATGCAAACACAAGGAAGGACACGAGATACGGTGCCATTAATTATTAAATTGTCAATTACTTTGGTTATGAACACACACTAACCCACCCAAAAAAGTTCTTCTGTAGTCATTAGCACAATAAAAGACGACATTCCAGGAAGAGGCACGAAGGGAGGAAAAAAGTTGGGTGAGCAGATGAGATTAAGAAGCTTGCGGGTATAATGAGGCTGCAGTATGCGCAGAACAGGTTTAATTGGCGAAACACGCGATAGGCCCAGCTGTGGTTGTAGGTGAACTGATTATGATCAGTGTGATGATTATGGTGAAGACGACGCTTTGGGGACTTGTTAGCGCTCGTACCTTGTCGTTGTACTCGGGTCTTTCGGCCAGCAGTCCGAACAGTACGAGGCAACCCTGAGAGTGCCCGACGTAGAACAGTTTCTGCTCTCCGGTGGCGTTCAGCACGAAGTCCAGCATAGCCGGCAGGTCGTACGAAATCATCTCGTCGAAGCTTCCCTCGAAAGAGAAAGGAATGTCACAAGCGTCAGGCATGGTCTCGTTCTGGTCAAAGAACAGTACACTGGTTGACATTGTATGACATTGCTGCATCACGTTGTATTGCATTGTATAAAGGGCAGTATCGTGAAACGTTTAATCAATTGGACTTACAAAAGGTTTCTTTCAGAACTCTGCCATTGATGTCGTCATTAGAGGTGCACTAGCTAAAAAGGAAATTGAAGTTTTAAATTACAGTTGAAAGAGGTGTACGCCTCTCTGGTACCGTGCTTACGGTGCTTGGCTGTAAAGCCACAGGCCGTGCTTTCGATATCTACCAAAGTGGTCGCATAGCGATGTACAAATGATAAATTTCAGAACTGAATCAAATTGAACTGAATCAAACTGAATCAACGCAAGTTGATCCAAAATTTAAAAATTTTGTCGTCACCAGGCGTCGATGGCATTTCTTCTAAATTTTTGAAAAACACTGACGTTCATTCCTCAATTATTCTGTCAAGACTTTTTGATCAGTCATTAGAAGAAGGTGTTCTCCCAGAGGACTGGAAGGTGGGGAAGGTGGCTCCCTTGTTTAAATCAGGAGACGCTCATAGTCCCGGGAATTATCGCCCCATTTCACTAACCAGTGTACCATGCAAACTTCTCGAACATGTAATTTACACCCACGTCGTGAGTTATCTTGAAAGTAACGCCTTCTTTAGCATTCACCAACACGGGTTTAGGAAATATTATTCATGTGAGACACAGCTTCTGGCCTTCACTAACGATTTATTCTCTGCTGCTGATCGTTCATCTACTGTTGATTGTGTCTTCATAGATTTTTCAGAAGCCTTTGATACCGTCTGCCACAAGTTACTTCTTCTGAAACTAAACGCGCTAAATATTGATGCTAACGTCTTAAAGTGGATTAAATGTTTCTTATCTAACCGCACCCAGTTTGTAACTGCTAACGACCATTGTTCCCCGACTAGCCCTGTAACGTCCGGCGTTCCGCAAGGTTCAGTTCTTGGTCCCCTACAATTTCTTATCTACATCAACGACTTACCTAAAGACATTTCATCATCCATCAAACTATTTGCCGATGACTGTGTAATTTACCGTGAAATCCAGACTAACGCAGATAATCTTGCCCTTCAAACAGACCTGGATCACATTTCATCATGGTGCGACGCATGGTTAATGAAGCTAAACGTTACTAAATGCAAGGCTATGCGAATTTCCCGTTGTATTTATCATAATGTACCGTGCGACTACACACTTAACCACAGCAATCTCGATATGGTTTCGTCCTACAAGTACCTTGGAGTGTATATTTCTAACAATATCTCTTGGAACACGCATGTCGATTATATTACAAACAATGCGAATCGCACGTTAGGTTATCTGCGCAGAAACTTTTCTTTGGCTCCGACTAAACTTAAACTTCTGCTTTATCAAACATTAGTCCGACCCAAACTCGAGTACGCGTCATCAGTCTGGGATCCACATACCAATTACCTCGCTCACAGCATCGAGGCGGTTCAAAATCGCTCGGCACGTTTTGTCATGTCAAACTACCATCGCACGTCCAGTGTTACCTCGATGAAAGCCAATCTTCACTTACCCACTCTCTCACTGCGGCGTAAAATATCTCGCCTTTGCCTGTTCCATAAGATCTTTCATTGCATTCCGTCTTTTAGAAACACTCTTTTCTAGCCCCCATCGTACGTTTCCTCACGCAACGACCATCAGTTTAAAGTGGGCGTTCCTAGCGCCCGCAGGAATTTATACTTTGAATCATTCATCCCGAAAACTGCAAATGAGTGGAACCACCTTCCCGCCCCTATCGCTGCTATCACTGACCTCACTTTGTTTAAAAACGCCCTCTCTAACCATTTCGCGTAAATTCGCCACTTAAGTCACGCTGTGTTTTCTCTTGTTAGTTTTTTTGTGTGCGCGTGTCATTCGAAGACGCAACCATGTTGAACATTGTTGTTACAACCACCCTGCCTCTTCTTCACATCACGCAGTCTTTCTTTTCTTTTATGGTTTTCAGACCGCCATTGTGCGCATATAATTTTGATTTGCTGTATTTCCTGATTTTCTGTACGATGTATACCCGCTCCTCTCTGTAATGCTTCGGCCTTGAGAGTAAATAAATGAAATGAAATGAAATGAAAATGCGAATCTGATATGAGTACGAATTGAACACTATTTGAATAGTTCTCGAATAGGAAGGCAATAATGTTCAAAATGGATAAGTAATTCAACAATATTTCATTTGGAACAAACAGTCACAAACTATAACAAAAAGAGCAATACAATTAACTTTAACCGGCAAAAGAAGACTCCTTATTTTGAAACTGAGGTAGGCTCGTATTAAATGTGACAGCCTACGTACGACGTAATATAGCAGTTTCTTCAGTGTTAAAGGCGTAACTTCGTCACCACTTTTTAAACAAGATTAGGCAGTAAAGGTAAACGATGTTTGATGAATCAACATGATCAATCTCAGGATAAGCATAGCAGCTAAATCGAAGACAGTTTTCCTTGAAGACACTACAGCTTTAAGTAAAAGTATACCTCCATATCTGATAATTACGATATCAACAGTCCTACAAAATGGTTGGGCTGCATGTGCCTTGGCAATCCAGTAAATAAAACAAGAAAGTTCTTTCTTCAAACAATGAAACAGTAACAAAACAAAATCGTGCTTTTTATTTGCTGCTTTGCCACTAAGTGCTGACTGTTCGAAGAGTATTCGGTTATTTCCGAAATGTCCGATTCGATTCGAGTACCGAATCGAACACAGCGCTAATTGACTCATCATTCGGGGTTTGCGAATATTCGCACACACCTGCGATGGAGGCGAAATGCAACAGCCACGTGTGCTGTGCCATGTCAGTGCACGTCAAAAAACACCAAATGATCGAGCCTTCACTAGCCCTACACTACGGCTTCCTGCATAATGTTATCGCGGTTTTAGAACGAAATGCCCGAAGTATTATTATCGTTATTATTGAAGTTAAAAGATGAAGCGAAGATCATGGCAAAGACCTCTAACGCGACGTTTTCCACAGGTGTGAGTGTTTTTTTTCACGTGTCGTTAGCTCAAAATAATGACGCAATTTTTTGAAAATCTGTGTCAGACAAAAAGTATCTATCTTGTCGCACTCCTACGCCAAGCAAATCTAGTTGTCAGCCTCACGCACACACGCTTTTGACACAAACTTTTAGCCGTTTCGTACACACCAACGACTCGTTGGGAAATCATTTCATTAGGCCACAAACATTTTCTAATGCTCATTTGATCTTGTTAACATACAAATAAAAAACTAACATAAATTTTTATCGCCCCACAAGGGGCGAATCTGATGCTCTATAGATGATAACGCAGTTGAGAGTGTTTTTTTCTGATAAGTTCCTACAAGTTTTTGAATCCCTCACCCCGTTTTTATAAGGGGAAAGGGGGAAGAGGTGATAACTTGTTTGGCAGAGATAACTTTTCAATAATATGCAAGCGAACTCGTAATAACTGCTAGTTGAAGTTAGCACGTGTATCTTCGTGTTTTGTTATGCTTGTGCTGGTGTACCCATTAACTAACTATATACTCACCAGAAGTCCCAGAATTCTTTCTGGTATCTCTTGTAACGCAGGTGCCGGGAGTAGGTGTTGCCTCGCACGTTGCCGAGCCACACATCGTATCCGGCATCAGCCAGCAGGTAAGCTGAAAAATGAATTCGAGAAACGTGATTGGACGTTAACGAATGTATGTAATTTAAGAAAAAATAAACGAGAGGTCCATCGTAAACGTGGTAGAATATGTGAAGCAAATAATACTAAGAAAAATTTCTTTCCTTTAATTTCGCAAGCCTCAGGCATAATATTACGCGGTGTCATAAATACGCGAACAAGTTAGTTTCGTTAGCAAGTCCAACATTGAGTGAATTCATAAACCCAGCGATTAAAGTCAGTTGGTAGACCATGCCTGAGGCCCGTTGCACGGAGGCAGTGAAGACGGCTTAGTTTAAACGCCTGCAACAGGTAATTCACGGCAAGAGTGCCTACTCACATTGCTGATTATATGTTTGTGTGTAGATCATGCGCACTTGGGCTGTCTTATCGTGCTGTTGTGTGTCCAATTTTTCCACTGTACTGCAGTATTGTTATTTACTTTACGACACGTAAGCTATACTGCTTTGTTCTCGCCACACTACAAATAATGCCTCCGCAGTCGAATACGTTTAAACACCTCACAAAATCAATGATTAAGTTAAACCAAAACCGAGTTTATTATGATAAGCGAACGGAACGTCGCTGAGGCTTCCTTACATAACGCAATGTCGATTAATATTGCCGCCACTAATTGATTATTTGAATGAATAATTAATGTCAGCTCAGAACTTTGAAATTAAGACTTCTTCATTGCTTAACGCTCTCATTGAGGTGTCGACGATTGCACTGCGGTAACAAAAGTGGCTGGCATGGCTGACAGAGCCGGTTCTTCGTGAACTCCTAATTAATGGTGTGTATGATATCAAATCTCATTTTCTTGCCATTATAGGTAAAAAATCAAATGTGCGCTGTTGATGAGTAAAAAAAAAAGACATCCACTCGCCACATGTTGCATATATTCATATACTTAGGCTGCTAGAAACGCTTTTGAATGAACGAGCCCTCACATCTAACCATGGGTGGCCACGATGCATACTTACAAACGCGCTGTCTTCGTATGCCTTGAAGTGTACACAATTAACCATGCTTGGGTCGACGACGCTTAAGTATGCGACAAGCGCGTTCCTAGAGACCCGGGAAATAAATATGTGAGTTGCGCATAAACTGGGTTCGAGTAACCCTCGCTCCCTCTCTTGACTTTTCTTCGTGTGCGTATATAAGGCCGGCAGTCATTTTTCATGTCCATGTGCGTACAATGATTTACGGTGTGACATTATCGAATACAGTGTGCTGCTCCCCACCCCTCTCCTTTCTTCTTTCGGTCTTCGTTCGACCGCATCAGTCACACACCTACCGCTGCGTTTGACCCAGGATAATCTTTTCCCGATACGCTCACGAAAGGTTGCCGGTCGTGACTACATAAACGAGTTGCCTTTGAGCTGTCTCAAACAATACGGTGCAGTACAGCGTAAGCTTGGGTTGGTACCAAGTAACCGGAAGTCGAATCGTATAAGTTAGGTGTCACCAAATTTATTGATTGAATGATTAATTTAGTGATTCACCCTCTCACTCGCCCCGTTGTTTTCCATCGAGAGTGAAGACTGGTAATGTCGAAATGAAAGTCGTCCTTGGATATCCTTATCTTCATAACAATGACAGCAGTGTGAATAGCCCCACCGCGGTGGTCTAGTGGCTAAGGTACTCGGCTGCTGACCCGCAGGTCGCGGGATCGTATCTCGGCTGCATTTTCGATGGACGCGGAAATGCTGTAGGCATTTGGGTGCACGTAAAAGATTTGGGTGCACGTAAAAGAACCCCAGGTGGTCAGAGCTTTCCACTACGGCGCCTCTCATACTCATGTGGTGGTTTGGGGGCGTTAAACCCCACGTATCATCATCACCATCAGCAATGCGAATAATGTTTTGGGCTCATCACGATTAGCTCAGCGTGCATTTACATGACATTTTGTTATCGAATGCAACGCTCAGGGTTCGATTGTTGTCCTGATTTATGACAAGAATGGTGTGTGTGTGTGTGTGTGTGTGTGTGTGTGTGTGTGTGTGTGTGTGTGTGTGTGTGTGTGTGTGTGTGTGTGTGTGTGTGTGTGTGTGTGTGTGTACACGCACACACACACACACCGTATACCGGAGTACGCCACTGATTTGTGTTCCTTAACGTGCCATGACACCACATAGCACGGAAGGTCTCCTCTAGCACTCTATTGATATGCGACAGCCGCGGACGAAAGCTAACTATAGGGTGGCGAAATTGGCTTGTCGATCAGTGTAGTAGCTCGAATGTTATCTAGATAGCTCTACAAAACATGGACGCAAGAAGAAAACAAGTAGTACTATATATACAAGCGCAACGTAACTTCTTTTCTTTTTTTCATTTTCTTCCTGTGTGCATGAAGTATTGCGCTATCCAGGATCTAACCCGGGCCCTAGCAGTCCAACCACTGTGTACCACCGCGGAGGCAGATTGTTTGTGTGTAATAGGGGTTTGGGGGAAGGGGCTGACAGATCGCCATGTCCCGTAGGCAGTAGGCGCTTCAAGTGCCGTCGCATTACGAAGGAACGGCGATTAGGCAAAGCCAGCAGCGCTTCGCAGTGCTGCGCCGTTTTGGCTATGCACATCGACAAAGAGCCTCTCGGTTGCTCTATCACGATTTTTCGTCGCGCGGCAGCGTCTGCGCGCACGAACTCACTGCTTCCAGGCATTCTGTGCGTGGTGGGGTGGTAATGGGTCGCATCAGCGATTCTATATAATCCGGGGGAATCGCAGATGAGCACGACGCGCGTAATGAGACTTCGCCATGCCCGCGGCAGATGCGTTGGCGTAAGTATATACGTGGACACGCCGCAACATTCGCCGAGTACAAAGCTTGCTCGTTTTTCACCATGCGCACTGAGCTATCGTACTCGAAGTGTTGAGAAATCCCTCACAGCGCAATAATCCGTCTACCTGCGAAACACTGGCGTGTTGACAGTGTTGCCAGGTTTGGCTACTCTGCGCCAACCAGGCGATTGTTTTAGGCTGGTGGCAGGAGAAAAAAAAACGGCAGAGAAACACTTGACTACTTGGCTATATACTTTCTTGTTCCCTAGATTTCCCACCCGTCACTGTGGTTTTGCGGATGTCTTGCCCGACTGCTTATCTAAAGGTCGCGGTGTCAAATGCAGACCGCGGCGGCCGAATTTAGTAGCAGGCGAAATGTTAGAAGCCCATGAACGGTCGACTGTGGCGCGCGTTGCCGTGTGGCATACTTTTGTAGCACCCCGCTACATCATCATCGACGTTCATCATCATCACCATTGTCATAGCCACCGCGCCGCGCCTCTCGCGCAGCTCATGCATAGCTCGAGCGGCGCGAGGACAGAATGAGCTTCTGGCCTGGCGGTTTGGACGGTGCAGCTGCTGCCGCTCCGCTTCGGCAAATCGCCTTGGATAATAAAGTGGCGAGAGAACGACACGACCACGTTGGCCGCCGTCCCGTCCTCCTCTTTCGCTACACCGGTTTCGCGCTATCCGCTTTAGCACAGGTCTCAAACACATGCATGCAGATTATCCGCGTGTGGCCCACATAAGAAGCCTTCGTTTCACATTTCTTTTATGTCTTCGTGACTGACATTGCTAGATGGTACCCGCATTATTTTCTCGGCTATCATAGTTAAGAACACTTTGTTTGGGTAGTATACGAAGTCGAAAGTGGTTTGTAGCGTATTTTTTTATTTTCCGTGAAAGATCCTTTTTGCAGTCGCCTTGTGTTGAAACATAACCGCAGAACAAACAGTCTGTATACCATAAGGTCCAGATTTTCAGTTATTCAGGAGATCGGTACAGATATGTTTCTCGAATTCAGGCGTCGAATCTCTTTCGGAAACGACCCATATAAAAGATACGGGAAAATGCAATGTTAAATAACGTTTTATCCCCACTCCTACACCCCTACCCCCACCACCGCTGCCAACTTTTTCACTGTCCCGTCCCTTTGCAGAACTAAAGTTTATAGCGCATATAGCGCTGATGTGTGTATGTGAGGCATAATGCCCCATCACATTACACTGCTTCCCGGGTTTAAAATCACGTTGCTAATACAAAGAAAACGTCCGCAATAATAACGGAACAGGCTACACAACGCGACACTATCGGTTATGAATACAGGGTATACGAGCGTGATCTGCCCATGCAGGGTCATACGCTGCTGAGAAAAGATGCAGCGCCACTTTGTGACGCTCACAGCTATCCTTCATTATCAACACAGAAACAAGAAACCATTCAGCGCTGGCCGGGAAAGCTTAAGTTAGTACAATTACGTTTAGACAGTGCTTGACGACGGCCGCGGAATGTTGGTCATTCAGGAGCAAAAACTAGGGCATTTGATGGCATGTGTCGACAAGCCAGCATGCTACAGCCATAGAGGGCTCGATGATTTCGTTAACTCTTCTCTACAAGCTTTATCCAGTTAAGAAGACATGGGCCTTCTAGCAGTTTCAGTTTGTCATACAGTAAGTGTTGAAATATGGTAACTTCATGGTCGCGAAGTCACTTTTTCTTTTATCCGTAAAGCCAGCATTAGACACTACACTATTCTCAACATCTTGATTGATTGATTGATTTGTGGGGTTTAACGTCCCAAAACCACTATTTGATTATGAGAGACGCCATTGTGGAGGGCTCCGGAAATTTTGACCACCTGGGGTTCTTTAACGTGCACCCAAATCTGAGTACACGGGCTTACAACATTTCCGCCTCCATCGGAAATGCAGCCGCCACAGCCGGGATTCGATCCCGCGACCTGCGGGTCAGCAGCCGAGTACCTTAGCCACTAGACCACCGTGGCGGGGCTATTCTCAACATCTTACCGCACACATCGATCAAATCGCGCTGTTAGCAGCTTTCCGAATCGTGGGAACAATTACTTGTAAAAACAGAACGGCATCACATCAGTGTACACGGTATACGACACTAGACCGTAACTGCCAAAGCCCCTTAATTTCCGCGCGAACGTTATACAGCGAGGAGGTACGTACGCAGGCTCTGTTCCGGGTAGTTGATGACCCAGTCAGCGGACGAGCCCAGCAAGTAGTGCAGCAGGAAGACGACCTTCTTGGCTCCAGCTGGCTTCTTGGGTGCCGGCTTGACTCCCCTCGGCAGCCGCTGCATCGAGAGCACGAAGCCGTCTCTCGTCTCCACTTCGTACTCCTCCACGGGATAGCCCTTGTCGGCGATGATCTGCGACTGCGCGAGTAGGGTGGGGCACCGTGTGAAAGACCATTGCACATCGGTGATCATTATTGCTGCGATAATATTGATTGTTGGGGTTTCTATACATCCCGATACCACGACATGATTATGAAGGATGTCGTAGTGGATGGCTCCGGAAACTTGAAACATCTGTTCTTTTTTTTTAACGTGCCAATAATTCTAAGCATAAGGACAACTAGCAGCTCATCTCCATCGAAATACGGCCGCTGCGACCGGGATTCCATCCCGCGACCTTCGGTTCTGTAGTCGAGCACCACGGCTAGTAGACCCCCCCGGCGGGTAATCGTATACCAACTACTTGTCAGAAAACGCTAAATATCTCTTTAAGTCTAATGTTCTATCAGAATAACGACGACCATTATTAGTATGAGCGTGAAGTCACCCTTCTCCCAGCAGCACGGCATGTCAACAGCAATAAGAATCACTTTTATCGGGATGTTCTGCTTCAAAAAAAAAAATAACGTGTAAGTACGCTTTTGAAATTTTCACCATAAGCATAAAACTTGCTTTTACTTCCACCCTTCAACTAGCACCTTCTATAGTTTTTGGTAAATATATATCATGGAAGCGCCGCCTTAAATCACGGCTATAACTTAGTTGCCAATGCCCCCCCCCCCTCCCCGCGTTCTTCCCTATGCTCATGTAAACGGGAAAGGCATGCTCTGTATTTCCTAGTAAAGCATCTTTCATGCACTCTTAGTCAGGTCCCGCTTAAAGGGCTTATACGAAAAAAGTCTAGTGTCCTGTCTATAAGTAGGACACGATGTATACGTTGCATTGCCGCCTCGCAAGTGTTTTGTGAGTAGGCTTTAGGACGTGTGCAGTTAAAGGGGTGGGGGGTTCTCAGTCTTGCTATAACTAATACAACAGCCTTGATCCCAATGTGAATATCACAATGACCACGGAAATGACGCTAGTGTATAGGCAAAACGACGTACTCAACTACCCCCTCCCCCCCTCAATAAAAAATGAATTCCTGCGAGAGAAAGTTGAACGTGCGTAGAGTGCAGATATAGAATAGCTCGGCGATGAAAGGTGCATATTCGAATATGAATATTGCAAGACTGGGCCGCCGAAGCAATATTGCGAGCTCGCTACAGAAATGTGCTTTCCAAGGGGCGAGTAATGTATACCACCACCGTTACGTGGCGGCTTGCGGCTCGCAGCGAGAAAGTTTTCAATTTCGCTCGGTTTCACAAATGGCATCGTGATAACGGCACACGTTTTGCGTGGGTGTAATACAGGAAGAGTATATGGCACTTCCGCGGCCACTTCCGCACGAAAAGTGCTTACGTAAGGCGGAAAGCGGAAACAGAGAGCCACGTGCGTGACATGCCGCATTGTTCTTGAAGAATGAAATAAACATTGAAACAAAAAGAAGAAACATGCCAAGAAACGGAAGCTGCGCGATGGAACGCCGGATGTTTTGTCCTCATCTCATGGTGGCAGCTCATCTTTCTTAAGTCGCTGATACTCTGGTCATCGCACCCTTTATAAATGGCTTAATGACGTTGCTGAAGACGAATATTGCAGTTTGTTTCTTTTTTCCTTGCGTATGACACCATTCGGCATTACCAGCTTTGAAATACCATGCATGGTGTCGATCCCTACCAAGAGTTGTCCGCAGAGGCCTCTGTCTATCCATCACTACCCCCTTGGCTGCGTTTGGAGGTCAGGGGTAGGTGGTAGATAGGCATCAGTGTATGAGGACAACTTCGGGAAAAACGAGGCGTGTTAGCCCGAAGATTAGCCTCCAGGTTTAATCGGAAATTTTAGCCATCTTATAGCATGGCTTCACCTTGTTACTTGAATGTGATGCTTGATATCTTAACTACGTGAATTCATTAAGCCGTTGTTGTTTGTCGTTGCCTCACCAGAGATGCTTTTCTTTTTTATATTATATTTAGCAAGATGCTTGTCTGTGTTAGTTAATACTCCACTAATTGTTAAGTAGCGCTACTTAAATGTATTGAAGTTTGGTTTTATTGAAAATCGGCTCTTCTTCAAAAGGCGTCTGTGTCGGGGTGGAGAGCCACCCAAGATCCCGAATGCATCCTGCTAAATGCATTTTCATATCCTATTTTCGGGCAGCAGACAATTTGGTGGAGTCGCGAGGCGGTCGGAGTTCACGTGAGGTGACCTCGAAAACGCCACGCAATCCAGCCCTCATTGGTGTCATTTTACCGTCACGAACATTTGAGGCTTATCAATTCATATTCAGACATCTCATTTTCGTTGAATTGTGCATACGAAGCACACGTGGAAAAGAACATGAACAAGCGAACGTCGGGGAGCCCAATAGAGCTATGTAGAAGAGAGTGTGAAGAGGTAATGAATCGACAGAAAATAAGTGGGCTGCATTGGCCTTTGAAAAACAGATACCTAATTCTGAACGATGACTCTGAAAATAAGGAAGCTTTCTGGATCACCGCGTTTCCAATGTGCGTAGGAAACGAAACGTAAAAGTACAATGGACACTGCATATAGCACAGTAGTACAAAATGCGGTCTTCTTTGTTACTCAAAGAAAAAGAATTAAGCTTCAGCTCAACTATGAATTAAAACGATGCTAAATACATCAACAATAGCATTAAAACGAGAATGAGAGTATACGTAAAATTTCATAGATTTAAGTGGGGAGATACGAGGATAGTTAACTTTGCAGAGTTCTCTGCCATGGTATAACTTCACAAGAATTCGTTATAACATACGAACGCTTGTTAGCGTATCACTTTGTGTGTGTAGCAAGTAAACACAAATCCAAGGTTTTTTTTTTCATGACGTAAGCGAGGCTAGATAAAGCATTCGCCAATAACAAACTATAAGGCGGCTCGTCCTGCACTTATTCCCTGCCATGATTAACACTTTCTAACGATCAGTTCGCTTTCTGTTATCTGAAGTGATCGCGCTAGTCGTGCAGATTGGCTGAAACAGAAACAATTAAGTCTCTGCGAGGTTCTAATGGAAAGAAATACAATCGTTTGAAACGGAGAAAGTATCATCCGCGCGCCACCGCACCACTGAATGGTTGTTTGCGTGCCTGGTAATTAAAAAAACGTATTGATTAACTGCTGACCCTAAGGACGCGGAATCGAATCCTGTTTGCGGAGGCTGCGTTTCGATGGAGGCCGTGTGCTTAGATTTAGGTGCACCTTAAACTACTCTAGGTGGTTTGATTACCGGAGCCCTCTGATACGGTGTCCTTCATAATCGTGTCGTGCTTAAGGGACCTCAAATACCAACTGTTACTATTAAACGTATATAGTAGGCTCCATATAAACGATTTTCAAAGTTTATAATTCTCGGAAAATAAATATATCTACTACGAATCATTTTAACATTCTAATATCTAAATAATTAACTCGGGAAAGTTTCACGATGACAAAAAACAAACACCTGGCAGAAAGGGGAACGCTCAAGAAGGGCATGACACTTGGCGAAACGGATACAAGGTATTCCCCAATTCACCCAATCCATGGGCTCTAGCATCAAGTTTTGTTTATATGTGCCATTGCATGTTCAGAAAACTGGCTATTTTCTCAGCCTCTCTTCAAGTCTGTCCCACGTGATAGCGTTTGCCCCGTTTTACTTTCATCCGCTCGTCATCCAGGCGGGGAGAAATTTAGCCCTACGCGTATTCCGTAGCACCAATAACAGGGAGCCGAGTTTGTACGTATTCATTCGAAAAGAAGCAGGGGTGTGCCAACACGGACGCGAGAAGGAAGTCAGGAGACCGCGAACATCGCGAGGGCGTCTGTCGTCTCCTGACATCCCTTTTGCGTCCGCGTTTCCACCCTCTGTCTGTCTCTTCCAGACTGTACCTCGAGACACGCGGTCATCATCATCAGCCTGACTCGTCCACTGCAGGACAAAGGCCTCTCCCATGTTCCGCCAGTTAACCCGGTCCTGTGCTTGCTGCTGCCAATTTATACCTTAATACTATGAGAACTAGCCGTAACCCAGATGACACCCCACCAGTAATGATAGAAGAAGTCAGAAAAGCTTTGGAGAGCATGCAAAGAGGCAAAGCTGCTGGTGAGGATCAGGTAACATCAGATCTGCTGAAAGATGGAGGACAGATTGTGTTAATAAAACTAGCCAACCTGTTTACGAGGTGTCTCCTGACGGGAAGAGTACCAGAGTCTTGGAAGAACGCTAACATAATCTTAATACATAAGAAAGGAGAAGACAAGGACCTGAAGAATTACAGACCGATCAGCTTGCTCTCTGTAGTATACAAGCTATTTACAACGGTAATTGCTAACAGAGTAAAGAAAACATTAGAGACACGCGGTACAGAATGCCAAACAGAGACTCGATCACCTAACTACGCCAGCAAACTAGGGAGCCTACATGAACAGGCGGTCATGTAGGCTCCCTACAGCAGACAAGCCCTTTACGCCGACTCGCAACATGTTTCCACGTGCCACGAAACGCGATTAGAGTGGCGTGGCGGAGTGTGCAGAAAGCGTGCCGTTATCCGCGATAAGGATCACCAGCTGAGGCGCTACTTCTTGGTGGACGTCTCACCTTCACGCCACCGCACGTGCCGAATTAAGTTGGCATCCGCGCAATGTCTTGTTCGAATGGCATTTCTCCAGCGTAACATCAGCTATAGGCTATCTTGTTTCTCAAGTCATCTTGATTGTGAATTACACTCCGTGTATTTATTTATACAGTTGTTATTGTCTTCTTTTCCATGCCTCAAGCAAGCCCAGGTGTCACAAACATTATTTCAAGAAAGGAACTGTGTCCTGATCAGCAATAAATACTATGTATTAAATATTCAATGCTATTTGTGCGAGCTACATACAGGTTTTTTGTTTGAGCAATACAGATTTTTCCTCGAGAAGCTATAGAAGGTAGGCACTTGTCGTCTTCACAGTCGATTTCCTGGTCAAGGCGTAAAGATTTTCCACTAATTAGATAACTTAGGAATGAATAATTGATAAAAATATTTCAATTACCTTTTCATTATTAACTTTAGGATGGTTGTTTGTATGGCAAAGTTGTGATTTGTGACGTAGACTAACTTTACCCTATAAAGACCACCCTAAAACAAATAATAAAAGTTTGATTTAATTATTTTTATCAATTAATCATTTCTAAGTGGTCTAATATGCGGCAAAATATTCCCACCTCTCTCTGGAAATCGGCTGTGAAGACGACAAGTGCCTACCCATTATATGTTTTTAAGGAAAAATTTATATTACTTGAAAAGAACACTCTGTATATAGCACGTCATATGAGTGACTGACAATCGCCGAGAATCTGGCCCCAGAATCTTGTTAATATCATTCCGGTCCTACTCGTCCTTCTGACAGAAAAAGAAAGAAAATGGTTAGAAGTACTGGTTATCGCCTCCTGTTCTTGTCAATAAGGAAAACGATCAAATAAGCACGTAATGCCACTAAATTTTCTAGGTGGAATCAGTTCTCCGGCATTACCTGTGGCGCGTGACCTCTGCTCGTGAAAATGCAAATGACGAGCTCTTTTTTTGTTGTTGTTCAATAATTCAGAGTGTAAGAGTCGAAGGTTTCAGATCCCCACATAAGTTTCACTAATATATCTACAGCGCAAGCAGCGTCGCAATAGCTGCGGTGGAAATTTCTCCGTATCGCTATTCGTAAACTGTACAAGTCACACAGGCGAGAGAGATAAAGGGAACAAAAAGAATATTATTATTCGAAAATCACTAGCATCGAGTATCTAGGAAAGTCACGACAACATACGCCTAATATATTGATCGACATTTCGATCACAGACAAACGACGAATAAAGTGGGAGCATCGACAACTCGGGCGGCAAAGGTGTCGATCAGTAAACGCCAAATACCAGGCTCGAGTTATGCTGATACAGGTTGATAGCTTACCACATTTCGGGATATGTCCGGGTCCACGCTGTCGATGGCCGACGAGCCCTGGATCCAAACGTGAGCCGCGAAGCAAGCCACCATCACGGCCAGCACGTGCTTGGTTCCAACGAAGCCCATGACGCCGCAGGTCTTCGACGGCTTCGGCGACGTCAAGTGACCACGCGCACTCGTCCTTCGACGAGGCATGCGCGGTCGCTACGCCCGTCCCGACTTCCTTTTTGCTTGTTTACACTTTTTCTTTTCCCTAGCAAGCAACTCTTTTACGCAGCCGAGGCAGACAGGCATACCGCTAGGGAAACCGCCTGGCGAGCTGCGCGTTACCGTGTTGCGTAAATGCCCGGTCGGCGATCTGGACCGAGGGCCAGCTGGTCGAAGACGACGACAACGTCGTTGCACGGCCTCCGTCTCCCCGCGTGGCTTGGTTCAAGGTCGGTAACATGTGTTGACGCAACATCACGTGGCTACAAACAGGGCCTGAAGAAAGAGGAAGATAGACGACTGGCGCTGTATGTTGTGCGGCTGTGGGGGCGGCGGGCTTTAACGAAAGTGACATAACGCCCTCCTGGGAGCCCGTGATGCGTCCGACGATTAGATAAGCGGCGCTGACATTCGCGAGAGACCTGACCCCGGCGCTGCCGAGGTCTCCTGTTAGAGTGCAATGCTCTTTCCCTCTCTTTCTCAAATCCTGTGCGCCATTCGAACGACAACAGTGTTACCCGATAGTCGTTCCGGCTAAAAATGTTCCTTGGCTCTGTTGTCTAGTCGCGTGCGCACTCCGCGGATCCCTCCTTATCGTCCCTTGCCACCGAGCGGCCTGCTGCAGATTACGTCATGTGCGTATCTGTGACATCGCCGTAGCGGTAGGTCGATTCGCAGTGCAGCCAGGCACCAACCGTTTTTTTTTTTTTTTGCTGGGGAAGTGAGCTACCCTGATACGGCACTCGGAAGTATGAGGGCTCATCACGAGTTTGTGATGGGCATTTCGAATAACTTCAGAGCACTCATGCTAATCTCAATACCACCGCGACGCTGCGCCATTCAAGTTAGTTATGACCGTGCTTCATTGTGGATTGCCGAAAACCAAACCTCAAACTTAACCTCACTCTCTCTCCTAAGATTTTGGACAGCAAGGCTTTTCAAAATCCGGGGTGCTTTTTTTAGAGGGGGGGGGGGGGGAGCGTGTCGGAGCAAACGACATTCCAGTGCGACCAAGTCTCCATCACCCGTATTGAGAAGCGTGCGTTCTCGGTTTTCCAGAAGTTCTGAGGGGGAAAAAAACCAATGCCTGGAGAACATACACAACTCCGCGTCAGCTCTTGAAGGTAGGCACTGCGCCGTGCTCCCGACCGGGTTGCAGAAATTAGGTGCCTTTTCTCATCTTCCAACCACTACCAGCTCTTGAAGGCGGCTTCCCACCAAACCGGTGGGAAGCCATAGCCGAAGTCGGTGGAACTGCGAAGACGCCAAACTGATGGCGCGCTTCTATCCCCACGTCTGGTTTCCCACCCTTTCACTGTTCAATGGCTTAGCTCCATTCCCTCGAACAGGCTTGCCAGCGGCTACGCAAACTGGGGTACCCAAAGGTGTCGGGCAGTTTTCGTACAGGTAGCGCCGCTGCTTTCTGCACAGCCTCGTCATGAGCTTCCAGGAAGAACGAGGTGGAAAAAAAAATGCAATAAGGTATCGCGGACAAAAAAGGAGAGCGCAGCTAAATGGAGGGGGATGCACAACATATATACGTGCTTTACATAAACGCAGACTGACAAGCTTTGCAACCGTCCCCGCCGTCATGGTGCAGCAGCTGGACACGACGACCCTCTTTTAGCGCTTGTCTCTCTTTCCACTTCGTGACCCGACTGCGATCTTCCATCGCTAGACTGGGTGCGTTACTCTGTCCCCGAAGTGGGGCGCTTGCTTGATTAACTACAGTGTACCTTGACTAAGCTTCTCCCTCTCGTCCTCGGTAAGTTGGAGAGAGGGCATCACGTCACTTCTCGACCATGAAGTTACCCGTCAAAACCTTTACTCGTTATGCTTGACCATTGCTCTTCGACTTGGATGCCGCCACGAGTCTGATTTCGTTACGAGGGGCAAGTCGAGAAGCGTCGTGGCAAACGAATACTTAGAGAGAAAAAAAAACGAAAACAGAAGTAGAACGAACTTGTTGCGAAACTGACAGACTAAAACTATAAACTCCGGAAAACACGGGCATGTCGGCTTGAAGTTCAGCGCGAACACCAGCAACCATTCGCAATGGCATAGTGTGTGTATGCTGTATCCTTTTAATCTCTCCTCACCCCATCCCTCGTTAGCTACTGTTGAGGTGTCGCACCCTGACGCAGACAGTTACAGGGCTCACTCTTGTCTTCTTTTCCCTCTTATAACCACTTCTCTGCCATGGGCAAAAGCGCACATGCGCAAAACTCGTCAGCGGTTGTGTCGGGAAGGTAGCTAATTCTTGGCACGGTTCGGATTTTATTCGACGCCGACAGTACATCGGCCAATGTAGAGTTACTGTATAAGCTACCGTAAAGGTAGCATATACAGTTACTGTAGGCCGACAGCACTATCAGCGCCGCGTAACAGCCATCGCTGCAACACATTGCACATGCGGAGCATGTACTCCGCGATGCACTCTATTTCTCGCACGCGCACGTTATGGATACGCTTGCTCGTCGTCTGCTAGTCCAATATTGTCGGTTAAGCTCATGCATCCTGTATATTAAGTTAATTATTTATTTGCAGTTTTCTTTAATAAACACTTCCAATGTAAACTGATTTATGCTCATTTTTACATTCAGGCACCCATTCTCAATCCAGATGGGCCTTGAGATGACCTTTCCCACTTAAATTGTTCCCATTGCCAAGAAAAGTTGTCCGTGAATATAGAGGAAGCCCAAAAAGAAGCGACCCAAACGAACTGCGCGATCGCCACGGCGCGGGAATCTTGCCAACATGCACAATCTCGCGAAAAAAAGTTTATTCTTTTTATTTTTTGTATATTTTTGCATGCATGCTGGCCAGATTCCCACGTTGGCAGAGATTGCGCAATTCGTTTGGGTCACTTCCTTTTGTGCTCTAGTTTTATGCTTCTTTTAACAAACGCGAGAAAACGTTCGTCGAGTCTACTTCGTCGTCCCGTTGCTTGTGCTGCTTCAGTCAATGTGCACTGCAGCTGACGAGAAACGAGCGGCATCCCCTTTGCTGCTTTTGTCTGTCGTCGAAGTCGAACGCACCCCTCGATTTCGACGTTTAGCAAGAGCGTTTTCGTTCGTTCCTTCGCTCGTTGCTTTTTCTCCTACCTTTATTCCTTTGTGTTCTATTCGTTTGTATGCTTAATAACATCCTCTTTAATAATAATAATAATAATAATAAGAATAATAATAATAATAATAATAATAATAATAATAATAATAATAATAATAATAATAATAATAATAATAATAATAATAATATAGGGTTTTATGAGAGATGCCGTAGTGGAGGGCTACTCTGAAAATTTCAACCATCTTATGTTTAACTTGCGATGGTCGCAGGTTCGGTCCCTGGAGGTAGCAAGTTATCTTTTCGTCCCCTTTTCTTTCTTCCCATTCACGTTACAATTACATCTAATAACACCCCCCTCCCAGCGATATTTCGGCCCACCCCTACGTACCCCAGAGCACTGGGAAGGCGCCCTCCACTACGGCACCCGCGAGATCTGTCGGGCACTCGTTTAGCGGGTCCGGGCTGTCGCCCTATAGTTGACCTATAGGTGTCCTGAAATGGGGACCTTCCCCGTATTTTTTTGTATTTATGTAAAAATGTTTTCATCGTGATCTAATAACATCCCTTATACTTTCTTGGGCGTCATTGACTGTTAGTTCTCATAATGATATTTTGCCTCAACGGAGCACATCCATATTTATTAAAGGGGCACTGAATGCAAACAATAAGTCGACGTTCATTGTTTAAGTAGCAGTCCAGAAATCTCGCAGTGCTTGTATCGAGGAAGTGCTTGTTTTGAAATGAAATGACGTGTTAATGGTTGGCATCGCGTTAGCGCACTTCCAATCACCCGGGCCTGAAAGCTGTCATCTTCACGTAACTGCTACCGTGCCAAACGTTGCCTGCCTTTACTACGCGGACGCCGACAGCAGTAAAAGCAGCAGAGCGACAGCAGCGGGAGCCACAGTTGCAACACGGCCCTTGAACGATTTTCTGCAATCTCGAAGGCCATGGTTCTGCTTGTTTGGTTCAACTGAGCCCCGCTAGATGGCATTGCCTATTCAGCCCTAGCCACGTGTAGCCACGTGTAAACATAACCCTTGAACCGCTCACGCCATTCACCATAGAAACGCGAGGCGGTCCTTTTTTCTATAGATCAAGCAGAAACGTACAAGAAAGATTTTATTACGTCTCTTGATGCACGGAGAAGTCTTTTTTTTTATTGCAGCTAGTCTGATTGCAAGTGATTAATTGTAACCGGACGCTCTCGGCTCCCCGGGATCCCTTTCACAAATGACCCACTTGTGGCACACGTCGCATGATACATTTAGCTAATAATTTCTTGGCAAGTAAGGCACTGCCGTCAGAACACTGCTTTTTTGGACGTTGTCTTATATTGCCATTTAATTCTGACAAATTGTCCGTTGCCTTTGGTGTCCTTTTAATAAAGATTATAGCCTGGCAGATGGCTGTACTTTTAACTCGAAGGTGGATGCACTCATGCCTTAATTACCTAATAGCCGGGTATTCTAGTCTGGGCCGATCGGACGGTGATCCTGCGGATGAATAATGTGACTGAGTATGTATATACACATGAGTGGAACTATTTCAGGGCCAAAGCTGATTAGGACCTAGCCATGTTTTCCGTTGGGTTATGCCATATAGAAAGAACCGTGGCTATAATAGAAACACACGTAAGAAAAAAATAGGAGGGGGTTACTATACATTTCAACGTAAACAAAGGCTAATTATAACGTAAGAAATCGATGTTGGCGGCTAAAATAACCTGCCGGAAAAAGTATTGATGAGTCCGTCTCCACTAAAATGTGCCTAAATGAGGAGGCTTCTCAAGGAAACCTGTATCATAAAGGAAAACGTGATGAGCACTATATGTCTCGAGAAATTACCCTTAATAACATATCTTTTCCCCGCTAAGAGCGGGCTCTTAGATTCACTTTCGAGGCATATCCTCCACTCCAGCAATTCTCTAAGTCCTCCTTGAATTGCCAAATACGACTGGAAGGCGAAATAAATTTGCGTTTCTAAACACAAAGTTTATGTCCCCCAATTTACATTGAAACGGGCAACGTTCTGATAACGTACGGTTTCTCACCCGTACCATAACCAGAGTTTCGCCTATATACTCGTCATGATTCAGTTCATAAAAATGCGTGGATTTTTTTCCTCTTTAGTCACGAACGCAATCACGCTGTCCAGTTTCAATCAGCTGCCATGGGTGGGGCCCATGTTGCCTTCCTGAGTCTACCGCAATGCAGCAGGGGTCATGGTGCGTGGCTGCTGACCAGAAGGTCAC